ACAGACAGGAGCAGTTCTCTCTGTGCCCAGGGTGAAGTGACCCTTCTGTGGGTATTTATAATAAGATTGCTTATTGACAATTTTTTAAATATATCATTACTGGATCCTAGCAACCCAGGAAATAGAAAGGTAAATTAGATAAGATAAATGTAAAAATGTAAATAACAAGGCATACATGGTTATGTACGACGTGGTACAATCATTTCTGGCTGATTGTGACATTTTATATTGTTTGCTATTTATGCTGAATATGTTGAATATCTGATGCTTCACGTGCTACAGTGCATTAGTATCATCAATTTAAATGAACACATTTTCAAGGACTTTTGTAGTTTGCATAACAGAGATTTTCTGAAAGTGTGTACCATTATTAGTTTCTCTCACAGCTATTGTTGTTGAAGGAAGTAACTTACTACAAATCCATAGAGAAGGAATTGAATTGAAAAATAGTAACTCACCCAAAGCTGCTCAAAGGTTCTGTAGTTGGTTAGAATTGATGTCGAAAGCTGATACTTTATTTACTGCCCAAAAAAGAATTACAATTTGAATTGATGAATTGACTTAACATTTAATATTTGTTGTTAATTTATGATGAAGTTTTAGTTTGAGATATATGGTTTGTAGGCTTGTGAACCAATTCAAAGGTTGATGATCCAGATTATGAGGAATTGGATGCTTTGATGGGTGCTAAGAGCTTTTCATTAGTGCTAATGTACACCGAATTAAGCATGCAATTAGACTGAATACATTCATCAGGGTGGTGTATTTCAGTAAAGGGCTTATCTAATGAGATTGTGTTTTATTGACTTGCATATTAATTGAACATTTTCTTTTTGTAGGATAAGCTTGGCCAATAAGAGATACATGGGACATATATACTATTAGAGGTTATCAAAGGCATTCCAAGAACTGCATAGGTGAGTTTTTAAAATTATTGCTCTCTGCATTTTAAAGGAAAACATGTCTTCATTATTTTCTCTTCAGAAAAATTTAAATAGGCAAATATTGACAAAATCCACGATCTTTTGGAAGCATTATGTTCAAGGCTATGTATACATGCAATAGGTTTAGGAAGCATAGAATCTATAACATTTGAAAGGTGCCATTTATGGCATCACGTCAAGCCCACTGCTCAGTGCAGGAATTCAAATTAAAGCAAACCCTGCAGATGGCTGTTCAGTCTCTTAAAAACATCTGTTGAAATGGATCTTCTGCATGATATCCTCCCGATATTTGAGAAGTGCTATCCTATCCTCCTCTGTCTTCTATTCTCAATAATAAACATATCCTCAGTGGCTCCTTGTAAATTTCCAGGGTCCTGGTCATCCTCTGCCATTTTTACCTATTCCAGTTTCTCAGAATCTTTGTTTTAAATATGGCTTCTAGACTCAATATTTGTGATGCTGCCTAACCAATCATTACTTCTCATAATTTGGAGACTATTCTTCTATAGATGCAGCTTAAAACTGCAGCTTTTAGCAACTTTTTTAGCAGCTGCTAACAGCACACTGTCAGCTCATATTAGTTTTTAATGAACTACAAGTCCAAGAACCTCTTCTCACATGCTGTTCTCTAAGTCAGGTGTTCCACAACCTATACTTTGCATTTGATTCTTCCTCTCTAAGTAAAGAACATTTCATTTGTCTCTATTCCACTTCATTATGTTCAGTCCACTTTTCTAACTTTTCAAATTTGTTCTGGATTTGGTTTGTGTTTTCTGATGTATTAACTATCTCATCCATTCTTTATATCTCTTCATTCAAACATTAATGAAAATGTTAAAAAGTACCAGGCTCATTGGCAAAGCCTGTAGCACCCTATTTGTTACATCACTCCAGTTTTATGAGGAACTACTGAAGAACATTCTTTATGTATGACGTTCAAGCCAGGAATGTCATAGGATACTTTACTAAATGCTTTGCTGAGTTCAAGATATATTATGTTCACAGTCTTTATGAGATAATAAGGAAGTTATTGATCAAAAAATATAAAACTAATCTGGCAAGACTTATTTTTATAAATCCATGCTAACTTCTGGTAATCACCGCATTCTTTTTAAAGTGTTTATAGATCAATTAATGTTTGTTTGGCTGTAGAACCTTTTCAGTTATGGATATCAGACAAATTGCTCTGTGGTCCTGACAAGAATGAAGATAGTGAGGGAGGAATTATCAGTTTCCAAACTGAACAGACCTGTTATGTCAGTATCTGTCAGGTGCCTTCCAAAGCTATAACAAGTATCTTTTCACTCAGAAAGGTGGAGGAAAAATGCTAGAATTTAAATCCTGGAACACAGACCTATATATAGGCTTTGATTGCTGTGTACTGCAGCAGACAAATCTTTGTGTATATGCTTAATTCTGGTTTTCAATAAAGAGACTATATTGCTGAGTTATGTCTTTAGAGAATATGATAGATAGCCAAGAAAGCAAACAAATGAATCATAGAACAAATCAACCCAAAGTTCTCACTTGAAACACAAATGACGAGGCTCAAATCATCATATTTTAGATGCATTATGCAAAGACCCAGCTCAACTGAGAAGTCCATAATGCCGGGAAACATGGAAAGAAAGAAGAAGAGAATGACCAGCAGCAAGGTGGATAAACTCGATTACACTGGTGGTGGGTGTGCCATTGGATGACCTGAAAGGATAGATATTGGGGAGAGATCATCCTGAAGAAGGCCTATCTATATGATAGCTAAGAGTTGACACCAACTTGAAGGCACATGATCAATCAATCAATATGGCAAAAAATACATATACCCACAAACGTAACCAATGAGATATTGTTATAAACTTTATAGGAAGAGTTTATAATCTAACATATTAAAGAGGACAGAGTTCAGCAAATTAAGGTCCTTTAAAGGAGCAGGTTCATCTATTTTCAGCCAAATATTTTAGGATAGGTAATATACTCCCATGATTAAAATTCTCAGGATGAACATAAAATGAAACTTTCTGTGATTCAGATACTGTGTCCAGCAACTGTGAAATTACCATTTGTTTCCACAGACATGTGGCAAACACTTTCAAAAGCTACTGCTTTTCGGAGGCCCTTCTACTATGAACAACCAAAATTCTCATTGCCTTATTATGGCATACAATTTCACAAACCATGGTTATCTGGTTCATCTTACTCTGTAATATTATATTAGTCTCGAAAGTGCCACAAGACTATTTCCTGTCTCTTTTTTTGCTGCTAATATGGCTACATTTTTAAGCACAGAATTTCTTAATGCCAGGCAGGGAAAATCTGCATTTCTTACCGATTCTCATTCAGTTTGAGAATTTCCTTCAGAATTTACGTTTGGGGGGGGGGGGGAAGACTGTCAGAGAAGCTATCATGAATTAAGGCTGATGTTCCTGTGATTATTTCATTATGGGGTAGTGAAGGGGGCATATTTTAGTCCCATCCTTCATTTTACAATCTTCCAAATTTCCACAGTGTCCCAAGAGAGGTAACTTCTCCTGTGGCACTTTTTCAGATTGGGAAATGTGGGCATCCAGGGAGGCTTCTGAGTGATGGAAAAAGGTATAACAGAAAACAAAACCAACTCTTGGCTGCCCCCAGCAATAAAATGCAGCCAGGAGAATGTGGAAGAGGAAATGTTTGGAAAACGTGAGAATAAGATATGAAGCAGAAGAAAAATGTACACATTTTGGCACATCATTAGTATTTCTATCCAGGCTTTAGGTCTGGCCGTTTTAGACAAACACAGTAAATTGGTAAACACTTGTATATTAATAAACAAGTGAGAATATGTGCTCCAGGTGGCTTCGATTGGAACCTAGGAAACGTGCTTTCTCTGTTGTTGCAGTGTCTCCCACCCAAAAATCAATATGGCTTCCATCCCGATGTTCAAAAAGGGATTAAAAACATGGGCACGGGGAGGGTGGTACTCAGCCCCTATAAGATTTTATATGATTAAATACCTGCATTCTTCCAGGCACAAATGATCTTTATTTTGTTGTTTGCTTGTTTTTAATGTTGTAAGCTGCTCAGAAGCTTGTGGAGTGGAGTGGCCTCTAAACCTATTGAACAAATGACTAATAATAAAAGCCTCCAAATCAAAAATATTTTTAATGAAGAAAAAAATGCAGCTAGCCCAGTTTCAAAGCTGGCATTTCACCACATTTATGACAGAAAATATTATCCAGTTAATGAAGAAAACATTGAAGTTGTAACTTTAAAAATAGTTACACTTTTTTTACTCATTATTCTTAAAAAATGCTTCCTGCTCCTTGAGATCTAACTCAAGGCTCCATCCGTTCCATTGAGAATCGCAAACTACCCTTTTAAGACCTGCGAGTGTAGAAGAATTCAGCAACATCTGTCTCTATCTATGTTTTCTTCCTTTAAAAAAGATCACACATATGAAGAAGAAATCTCTCAGGCACCCTTTGACTTTCATAAAAAAACCCTTTTGAATATTTACCATGACATTTTTTTATTTCATTTCCACTTGGGGAAGATTTCCATAAGGCACCTCTGAATACAATATGAAAATCCTCGGAGGCAGTGAAGAGATATCAGCTCTGTTCCTGTGCTTTGTGCAGAGAATACCCAAACATTGTAAAATCAGCTTGCATTTGGGATCCCTGCCGCTTTCTTCTCAGCTTCTGGACATCCAGGATGACCTGCTCACTGTCTTTTTCATACATGCAGGCAGTGTGATCGGTGGAACTGGGTCATGTACCTGCCTCTGGCTATCACCATCATGCCTTTTCCTTCAGAGGGAGCATTTCTGGTTGCTTAGGGACTCATGAAAAGCTTCACTAAAGCAGATCAGTTTCCATGGTCACACAGGGAAGAACTGTGGTGTTAGCATATAGCAATTCCAAATTCTTTGGAGTAGGAAAAACAGTCATAATGCAGGAGAAGGATTGATTACCTAGCATCTACAAACCCATAGATAATATCTGTGTTTATTGCTTAATAGAGCCAAATGTCTTTTTTAAACAGAATTTTGGCATTAGAAGGAAGCCACTGTTCAGTGCAGTGAGCACTTTTTACCAAACACACAGTATTGTGTGTTATGGGTTATGGGTTATTGTATTTAACATGTGTTGGTTGACATCCCATCTTTCTAATGCATCCTGCCATAATCATGTTTTTTGCTCTTTGTTGCTTTCAATGAAAAGGAATAGCACAATGGAGATGTATGTGTATATGTCTGTACTTTACACAATCTCATAACTAAGCAACTAGTACTAAAGCAGGAATACTGAAGCTCTGTATGACTTTCATACATAACTAAGTTTAGTTCATTCATAACTAAACTTAATTTCTGGCCAGTGACCATAATAAAGTTTTGATTTGGTTTAATAACTATGCTTAAAATACTTTTGAAGTTAGACATGAAGTCTACAGCTTCAAGATTGATTAGGTTGGTTGGTTTTCTCAGAATGCAGGTAGTCCTTGACTTATGACTACAAAAGGGACTGAAAAATTCATCATTAAGTGGTACAGACATTAAGCAAGGCATCAGATGACCACACTTGATTTTATGACTTTTTTGCGCCAGTTGTTAAATGAATCACCGTGGTTGTTAAGTGAATCATGTGGTCATTAAATGAGTCACATGGTTGTTATATGACTCAGACAGTTCCCCATTGATTTTGCTTGTTGTAAGCTGGCTGGGAAGGTCACAAGTGGCAATCATGTGACCCAAGGGCATCGTAAATCATTGTAAATATATGCCAGTTGCCAAGCGCCTGAATTTTGATCACATGACCATGGGGGCGCTGCAGCGGTCATAAGTGCAAGGACTGGTCATAAATCACATTTTTCAGCACTGTCATAACTTTGAACAGTAGCTAAACTAATGGTTGTAAGTTGAGGACTACCTGTAACTGCAAATTGACCTTGCTTCACCTGGGCTATATAAAGAAGCCATATAAAGAAGAGCTTCTCCAGCCATAAATTCATAAATAGATATGATCTCCTTTATTAGCTTCAGTGGGTGTTGTACCAGGCCAGCCTTTTTGGAGCTAGGAAGCTAAACAAGGCCAGGAACCCAGACCCACACCAGCCATCGTATGCCGGCCGTGAAAGCCTTCGACAATAAAGGCCAGGAACATTAGCCTTTCAGTGCGCACCAGAACTCTCTCTAGGCAAGACTGGAAAGGTGTAAAAACACTCCAGAAATAAGGAAGAGGAAACCACTTCTGTGTTGTTGCCAGGGAAATCATATGGATATGTCCATGAAGTCACCAGGAGTTGAATCTAATTCCAAAGAGGACTTTTACTCTTCACTAAAGAAAGCATCTTGGTTTGAGGTTTTATTTCCTGAGGAAAAAGGATGCAGGATCTTTAAGCATGGTCCCCGTACCTTTGTATGGTGATCAAACAGGATAATTATGATAGGTATATAGAGAGCCAGTTTGTTGTAGTGGTTAAGGCACCAACTAGAAATCGGGAGACTCTGAATTCTAGTCATGCCTTAGGCATGAAGCCAGCTGGATGACTTTGGGCCAGTCACTCTCTCTCAGTCCTAGGAAGCAGGCAATGGCAAGCCACTTCCAAAAGTCTTGCCAAGAAAACTGCAGGGACTAGTCCAGGCAGTCACCAGGAGTCAACATTGACTCAAAGGGGGGATATAGTTGGTAAAATATCCTCAAAGTCCCTCTTGCATCAAGAGTGCAGGCATCCATTCTTCTTTTGCCTTATGTCCAAACTACCTCTTTGATCTTAAGGGGTTTAGAAGAAATGAAATAATTCTGGAAACCTGCCTTTGAGAGATGGTCATTGCATCTGTTTTTTAAATCTATGCCTAATGTTGGACCATTGATTGTAGCTACAACACTTGAGGAGTGAGGAGAATTTATAAAGGGTACTGGCAATGCATTAGATTCACCTGCTTGGACAAAGCCTATCTTATTTGAACACTTCCAGGTTCTTTTATTATATATACACTAGGGTGCTCGAGAACTTTAGAGTGAGGTCACAGTGCTAATTCACAATAGGATGAAACTTTGGTTGTTAAGTTTTGAACAAGATGGTAAATTGTTTTAGCATTTTCTCTTTAACTTTTCATTCTAATCCTGATGCACCAGGGAGAGTACAGGTTGGGAACAGTAGATGTTCATTATTACCTATTAACTTGGTTTATTCTACCTCATTCAAATGTGAAATTCACTCTTTCTGTATAATGAACTCCACAGGGCCTTAAGAAGAAGTGGATGGGAATTGCATACATGAAATGAAAGAGTTCTAAAGAGCTGTCAGTGTTTTTCAGAATCATTTGGACTGTGTAGCCTGTACAAACATGGAAGGGGATTGTTTAAGCTGCATGAAATATCTGATGTTCGTCTTCAATTTCTTCATATTTGTAAGTTTTTCTTGATTTGCCATTTTTTTCATGTTCCTAATGAATTGGTTATACTTTGGTAGAGGTACTACAGTGCAGAAGACCCCTTACATTTCATAGGTTGCCACCTCTGAAACCAGCAATTTGCTTTTTATCAGAAGTAGCCAGAACATTTTACAGCACTTGGGAGTCTGATATTACTGATGAGGCAAAAGGTGCCCTTGAATGGGTTATTCATAAGGCCCACGGATATAGCTCTGAGTTACTGCAATTCTAGAACTGATGTAAGATGTATTCAATCACTTGGGTACCTTGGCAACTTATAATTTTATTAAGGCATGGAATACCGTTAAATAATTTCTTAGTGTCTTTTCTCCCAACTTCCATAATGGAGCTTCAAAAAAACCATTAAAACCTGGTATTTTAAGAGAGTTCTGGGAGTGAGACTGATATGAGTGGGAAGCCTGCATACATGGATTGCGTTCTGATGTTTGAGTATTCCTTGCTTGCTGAAACATATTCATACCATTGGTTGTAGCTGTTAATTGCTATACCATTTTTTCTTTTGCTTTATAAACTTCTTACTGAAAGAGGGAAATGTAAGCCACTCTGATGGGACTTGGGTGGCATATAAGCCCAGGTAGGTAGGTAGGTAGGTAGACAGAGAACCAGTTTGGTGCAGTGGATCAGGCTAGAAACCAGGAGACCGTGAGTTCTAGTCCTGTCTTAGGCACAAAGCCAGCTGGGTGGCCTTGGGCCGGTCACTCTATCTCAGCCCTAGGGAGGAGGCAATGGCAAACCACTTCCAAAAAATCTTACCAGGAAAACTCCAGGGACTTGTCCAGGCAATCACCAGGAGCTGAAGGCATGAAGGAAGGGAGATAATGCTTTTATGAAATATGGATATAAGAAATCAGCAAGCTATGTATACCATGCTAAACTGTTCCAGGCATTACTAGGCTAAATAGTGATATTAGTATGTTCATTGACATATTGTCCAGGAACAACAAAACACCATCACTTGTCACCAGAATCCATGCCATGAAATACATTAGCTCTGGAGTTCACCTTTCTCTGATGTTACCTTTGTTCCTGAAAAAGCCATCTGAAAATAATATATATATATATAGGCTGTATATGTAGATCATTGAGTGTAGCTGAAGTATTCAGGAAAAGTGTTCCTGCTGTAATCTGCTGAAATTCAACATGGGCTGGATTCATACATCATGCTAAGCCATAATGTAGTTTCTTTGATTCTGTTAGCTGCTTAGTGAATCCAGCAATGATCGCTGGTAAACATGACTTAACCCATCCATTTTGTGGTTTATTCAGCAAACCATAATTAAACAAAATGATAGCTTATTGCAATGTTTGAACCTGGTCACAGAATAAGGAATATCTATACAGTTAAGAGACCTCTAGAAGCCCTACCAAAGTTGTTTTTTTACTCTCCAAATGAAAAGTTTGCAAAGATGAGGAATGAGCATTTTAAGATTATAATATTGTCATCTATTCCCTTGGATTAATGCTTTTCTTGAATGTTTGCATGTATTCCTTTCCTATGAAATGATGGTCTAATGTTACAAGAAACTATGAAATGAGATTTTGTAGTAAATAAGCGTAATGAATAACTGGAATTATTAAAAAGAGGGCTGTTTTCCATTATAAATAATTACAATATTAATCAATATTGAGAATGAAACGTATTCTGGAAAATTTTGGAAAATGCCTTTTCTGATAAGGCTATTGGATCAGGACTGCCAAAAATTGATGGCTGTTAGATGTTAGCAAAGGAATACAGAAGAAATCTGCTATCTTGTGATCATCCAGGTTTTAGCAGCTTTTGGTATCTCTGTTCTCTGAACATAATATGTTTGCACCTTAAGGAGCTAGCTGGCACTGCAACAGTTACAGAATTAAAACTTTTAACTTGAATTGTGCTCTCTATAGGAATCTAGCCAAAAAAAATATTTTTAATCTAAATCTTCCATTTTTATGACAGCTGGGTGGTACCTGTCTCCTGGGAGTTGGAATATGGGTCCTAGTTGATCCCACGGGATTTCGAGAGATAGTCGCTACTAATCCTTTGCTCTTTACTGGAGCATATATCATGGTGGCTATGGGAGCTATGCTCTTCTTGCTGGGATTCCTTGGTTGCTGTGGAGCAATCCGTGAGAACAAATGCCTTCTTCTTTTTGTAAGTACAACTGAGTATATTTCTTTTCCTAGAATATAGGAAGTGCCCAGTATAAGTACGAGTTCCATTCCCAAGGTCTGTCCTTAAGTTGAATTTGTATGTAAGCTGGAACAGTATTATTGTATAATACTGTATAAGTAGTATTGTCTATTTAACTCAACACATTTTGTATTTAACTTGAATCATTGTGCATTTACTTGAATTTTGCTACAAAAGGCTCCGTTCTTAATTATGGGTCATCCTTAAACTGGGTGTTCTTAACCCAGGCGTTCTTAACTACCTGTACCTACTTGTATTATTAGAACAGAAGTCCAAGTAATAGTACTATAAATCACTATATTATTTTGTTACTCCTATTACACCATTTAACTTCAAGGCCTTTTCACCCCGACCCTCCTGAATATAAGAGGAAAAGTATATGTTGCTATGTGGAATGCTTCTGCAACTTGTTCAAATAAATCAGGATTGTTAAATCACAATTTAAACAAATGTCTTCTCCTTGAGCCCAGATTCAATTAAGACTATGGTTTATTTAAAATTATTTTAATATTATGCATTACATTTTAAATCCTTCCAATAATTGAAGTTCTCTGGATAATTTGTAGAGTTACTTAAAAATGTTTAAAATAGGAAAAAGAACAATTACACTGTGGAAAACAATTAAATGCATTTATAAATATGAAGTATATCTTTTCACTCTCCATATAAATGGAAGGGAAAGGAATGGAAGCTTTCAAGTCATTGGGTTGTTGGATCATTCACAAAACATATTTTTCTGTAACACCTGAACAAGTACTTTCACAAAAGCCCAGCACACAAGGTCTTGTCTATACCCTTGTTATATGCTCATTTTCACCATTGATTCACATATCTTAATTTGTAACCTGACATTGGTATTACTTTTCCTGGGATAAAACTTGTGTTTTATCATCAGCCCAGTAGCCAAAGAATAAAGAGATGCTTTGTCAACTTAGAGTTTTGAGGAAGAAAAACTCTCAAGAGGTCATAATTATGCCCCAAAGTGCCAGTGCTGCTTAACTCACGCAAGGTCTCTGTGGATTCATCCTTTATTGAGGAGATAGATGCATTCATATGTCAACCAACTTGATCAAGAAGATCTGGGTTTCACTATCATGTTTAATAAGCAGGGCCTTGATATGTTCCAAGGAATCTTGTGGCAGAAGAAAAAAAGTCATATTGAGCTACATCTACTCCAACATGAGAGTGTTTCGTTCTTTTTTAAATTATTATTATTTTGCTTTACTCACTTCCTGCAGAGATAAATCATTTGGAGCTGTGCATTAGGTAGTATCACCTACAGGCTCAATGTCATCCACAAAGATTCTGCCACCACTCATCTACTTCTGTATTTTATTTTCTTATGGCTTAGGTTGGAAGTGGTCCAGGTTTTCTGATTCTCTGAGGCTGTGCCTCCCATTACCAGTTACTTAATGAGAAAGAGGCAATTATCTCCCCTCCCCCCCCCCCCCACCACCACCACCACCTCAGCTCTTATTGTGCACAGAAAGACAAAGGAAGACAAAGCAGAATGAAGATATGTCTCATAAAAGAGCCCTGTGACTATTCCCACTCTTTTGTTTCTGAGTAGGCTGAGTAGACAGAGAGGTACATACACACCCCAAGAAAGAGAAAGTGGTTGTATGTGTGGGAGAGGGATGCAGGATCTTCTGTTGCTTCCTAAAGAGGAAAACAAGGAGGAGGAGAAACAAGTCCCTGACTATCCGCAACCTATACAGGTGACAAAGACAGATCAGATTAGCCTCTGGAGCTTTGGAAGCAGCTCTCACCATTTGGGAGGTGGATGAAGGAAATCTTATGACTGGTCTTGCTGACAATGCTACATGAAGAAAGCAGAAAGGGTGCCAAGGAAGATCGTGAGAGGGCTTCAGCTCTTCTCACTTTAGAACATATTGCTACTAAAATGTATAAACTTTTGCTAACATATCAGACAGAGGAAGAACAAGTGAAAGAATGTATGATAAAATGGGCTAAAAATTTTGGCTGTAATATACAAATGGATCAATGGGGAAATATGTGGTTGAAAGGACTGAAATTTACATTATGCTCTAGCCTTAAAGAAAATTTTTATAAAATGATGTATCATTGGTATTTGTCACCAGAGAAATTGTTGAGAATGTATAAAGGCATTTTGAATCTTTGCTGGAAATGTGAACAACATGAAGGGACATTTTATCATATTTGGTGGATGTGTAAAAAGCCCCCCCCCCCCAAAATAAATTGGATACAAATACAGGCATTAATTCAGAAGATTTTTAAAGGTTAAAGTACAACTGAAAGCAGAGATTTTCTTTTGGGATTAATGGGCAGGCAACTAGAAAAAAGCCATGGAACTTTGTTTTTATATATGGCAACTGCAACAAGACTATTACATGCTCAGAAATGGAAAGGTTCGGCACTACCCACAATGGAGGATTGTTGGTGAAGATGATGGTGCTTGCAGAGTTGGCTAAATTAATCCCCCTAATTAAAGAAAAGACAATAGCTGCATTTACGGCTGACTGGCAACCCTTTAGAGACTCTTTGCATGAAACAGAAAAAAAAAATGCACTTATTACATTGGTTTTGACGATTAGGGGGGAAAAAAAGGATAATAGAAAAATGTGAGCTTTTTTTGTAATCATAGAAGAAGAGATAATTTTGTAATTATATTTGGTGCAGAGAAAATCGGAAGCGTCTTCTATTTCTTTCTATTCTTTTTTACTGCACTTTTGCTTTTGCTTTTTTCTTCCTGTCTTTTTTTCTTCGTTCTCTCTATTTTGTATTAGTTGGTGTTAGTTTTTATCTTCTTTTTAAAACTTTTAATAAACAAAATATTTTTTAAAAAGTCTCCTCACTTTAGCTTTGTTTGAGGGAATGTACTGCATTTCCTGTCCAGTTCAGTGGGTGTCAAATTTTGATTTAGCTGGTGGGCCAAGGTAGAGCCATGACATATCAGGCAGGCCTCCTGAAGTTGACTGCATAGGTTAGGCATGTGAAGATTGCCGCTCAGTTTATTTTGTTAACTTGTCTCTTAGCGTCTCAGTTTGCTTCTGTGTTTGTATTTTGTGGACATAACAAACACAGATATATCCACACTGGCAATTTGGCATAGGCAAAATACCATGATATTTTATTAAAGTTCTACATGAGCTGCATGCCCTCCACCCAAAAGGTTGGGTATTCCTGTAAAAACTGAACTTTTCATTCATTTGGTTATTTGTGCCTAATTTCATCTTAAATATGCAGGATGGGGAAGGTGTTATATAACAGGGCTTGTCTAGAAATAAGGGCAAGCAAAATAGCATTTTCTTCCAGGAAAAAAATGCTCTTGTAACAAAGAACTGATGCTGGGAAATGATTAAGTATATGGGCCATGAAAAAAAAAAAGGACTTGGCAAGAGTTTTGATGGAGTGGTTGTTATCTCTGTCTTAATTAGGGGAAAGGTGTTATTTTCATGGACTAATTAAAATCCAAGTCCTCCTACAAAGTTTTCAAATATAGATGAATTAGAGGCTTCCCAGGAGAGATTTCTCAGTGATACATAATAAATGCCTGAAGCTTTCAAGTCAAGTATAAATTCAAGGAAAGTGTACAGCACAGCTGAGAGATAAGAGAAACATGCACCCCAAGGGAAGTTCTTAAATTTCTTTCTGTGTAGAGATTATTTCCCATGTTAGGTTTTTGTAAAAAATGTTGCAGCTGAATGAAATATATCCTGCCCTTCATAGCACCTAAAGCTTGTCTAGCAGTTTTAAAAATAAAACTGCAAGGTAGCCCATGGAATAACCTAAGGGTATTTTAAACTCCCTGATAATGCAATGCATTCCATTGTGTCTATGAACTCTGCAAATCTATGAAACAATTTCATTGGTAAGAAGATACCAATCCTAGTGTGCTCTTGATAAAAAATCCAATTTATTCCATCTGCAACAGTGAGAAAGAAATAAAAAAGCCAAGTAATGCTGTTTGCTCCACCTCATATTTAAGGCAGTTCTATTCAGATTTACAAGTGCAAACATGCATCTAAAAAAATAACTTACTTAAATGACTAGACAAAAAAAATCTGTGCCAGAAAATATGTATATCAAAAGTGGGATGATAGGGCATCCCCAGTTAACCACAAAAATGTGGGAACGATTTGGTGAACATTCAATAGATCCAAAGTTGACAGGTCCACTGACCACAAAACTCAGCTTAGATTCCAGTCAGCAATTTGATTAAATACATACATACATACGTACATACGTACATACACACACACACGCACATATACATACTCAGCCGGAAGATTTCAAAGGCTGCTTAATTCATCTGAGGCTGAGTCCAAATATTCAGATTCCTAATTTGTTGTAGTGTTTTTAATTTTTGAACAAAGTTAAAGGCAAGTTATACAAGGATCTTTAAAAGTTTGTTGCTGATTTTTGTTTATAAGGAAAGTGTTTGTAATCTTTTTTTCCAACCTCCCATAGGGATGAAGCCTGCCATGTATTTCAGACAAATACCCGTCCTCAGGACCTGAAGTTTTCATCAAAATGATAAAAGGACCGTTGTGCCATTGCACCTCAAGTTTCACTCTTTTTGGATGTTTGGTTATTCATTCATTTAATTTACACAGCTTCCCATCTCACATATGTGACTTTGGGCAGCTCACAGACTTAAAAACAGAAAACAGTTTAACAGTAAATAATTACAAGTAAACAGCCAAAATGAAAACCATTAAAAACCTATTAAAACAGTTAAAACTTAATTTGCAGGAGAGTACAATCCATAAATTGACTAACAATACAGCCAGCTAACCATTTCCATACCACCACTGGATCTCCAACCATAATGACATAGCCATGTCTTGAAACTCTTCTGAAAGGCCAGCAAGGTTGGGGCCAGTCTAACTTGTGGGGTTGGGGGTGGGAATGATATTCCAAAGGGCAGGTGCTGTGGCAGAAAAGCCTCTCCTCCTGGGTCCCACCAGATGGCATTCCTTAGTACACAGGACCTATAACATGCTCTCCTGCCAGCCCTGATGGGACAGGTAGATGTAACCAGGGAGAGGTGGTCCCTCATGCCATGTAGAGCTTTATAGGTCATTATCAGCACTTTGAACCTTACTTCATCATCAAACACTACAAAAGACACTGAACTTACTTCATAGTGCTGCTTTTTTCATATGACCCCATTCCTTTGACACCTCTGATTTCTATAATCCCCCTCTCTCAATTGTCATGCAGAAATTACACAACAGTACAACCTAAAGTGTTGCTTGTAGGTCCTTAGCTAAGCTATTTTGCAGACTTGTAAAGCAGGAGATGTTCCCTTCCATTCCTTGTACAAAATAGGCTGGCCTGGCATTGATTTTGACTTTACTTCTAGCAGTGGCAGGTGAGCTTATGAGTGGCACACAGTAACTTGTATTTTAATATCTTTTTTGTACTGTTTCTTTTTTCGCATGCCCTTGGAAAGGGAATACATTTTCTGACAGACTTTGGGCCAAAGAAAAACCTCATTACTAGCACTTGGGATTCCTCCTTCTCTTCCTCCTTTTTTTTTTTTTTGCTTCAGTGCCTGGTCTTCTTTTTTTATGCCTGTCTTTTTCCAGGTTTCTCTTTGAGCCTGAAAAAATGATGTTGCTGCTGTAATGAATCAAACCATTAAAGCAGCACATCTTTAATGTGATTCTTAAAACAGTGGAGATGCTTGCCCTGTGAAAGTTGGGTTGGCTGCAGAATTCTGGGTGTTATAGTCCCAACAATCTGAAAGGCACTAGATACTTACAAAAGGCTGGCATATACTTATCAAATAATTGCATGTGATGCAGAGAAGGCGAGAAGTCTGTCAGGTGGCCCAGAAGTATTGTTGGCTGTGATCTTCATAAATCCAAATGATCAATCATAGTGGCAGTGGAATAATCAGTTGTGAATAGTAAAGTAAACATGATGGGTGAGAAGTAGCATATATCCCAGATGATAACAACTTTAATAGTTCATCAAACAATCCCCTAATTCTGGGGATTTGGCATGTTTCTAGTAGTTTTCTTAAGCTAAGGATTTGGTAAATTTGTTCTGCTGTAGCTGTCAATTTCTAAACATGCCTTAGTCAGTTTGACCTATTCTTACTATTATTTTATGAAATGTTGAGGCAGATGTTCACTCTAGATAAACAATAATGTGCCTTTCTTTGTTTTTCCTCTTTCAGTTCTTCATGTTTATTTTGCTAATCTTCCTGGCAGAACTCTCAGCTGCAATCTTGGCATTTATCTTTAGAGAAAATGTGAGTATGACGATGATGGGATGTTCTTTAGGAATATGCAGTTCAGTTAGACTTCTAGTTTATAAATCTGATGAGCAGCCATTTGTTTAAGATACTAAATCATTCCCACTTAGTCTAAGCAATTTGAAGCCACCTATTGAAAGTAAACAAACACAGCTTGTGTCACACATAGATGCTTTATGGGTAGAAGACAGAGCCTGCTTTTCAGGAAAAGTTCATCTTTAAAACTGAATTAGTTTTATTTTCAGAGTTTAGGGATTAAAGTAGTGGTTTGAGAGTTTAAGGGTACAATTCTATGATCTCTAGGAGAGCATTCGAAGGGCCATATGATAAGTTAGATTTTCCCAAGTGAAGGCAGAGAGATCCAACCTTGGAAGTGGACGTTAGGGTCCTTAGATGACCTCTTTGTAGATCTGGAGACCTGTTGAGATTGTTGCTTCTCTATCAGAGCTCTGATGTTGGTGGAGTCTAAATTTCCAGATACATTCCTGACATAAGAAGAAATGTACAGCATATCAACCCTGAAGCTAGCGTACATAGTTTCATTGAGAGATAACTTACCAAAGAAAGAAAAGAGAAAGTAATATATCTGCATGAGATGTTGGTAATAATGAAAATGATAGACAGATGTTTAAAAATACAAATGAATGAATAAAATGCTGTCCTTCCCTCCATTCTGCCTGTCATTGCAAATCTAGCAGAGCTTTATATTTGATGATTCCTCTATTTGGGCTTATTTAATCACTGTTTATTTGCTCTGAGAAATGATTTGATACAGAAAAAAGAATTAAAAGTTTATCCCATCCCCCTGAGTTTCTTTGTAAGTGTGACAAATCAATTTAATCTGCTTATTTTGCTCTGTAATGTTTGTCTGTTCAGTAGCATCCATACTGAAAACATTATATAATTACAGTGGCATCTGATGGCAAATGTTGTTGGACAAAAATATTTCAAGTTTTTGTTACTGGATTTTCTTTGTCCTGTTCAAAAAGAGAGAGAAAAATGTTGAAATTGTTGATTTTTTTTCTTTATAATCATTGTTCGGACATAGTATCTGTACTTCTGAAATACAAGGAAGCAATGAATACAGTCTGTTATGTCTGTGCTTTCCCCTTTTTCAGATTCTCACAGTTGTGCAGATTACTTTGTAGTGCTAACCAAATATAAAGAAGGTACTTGCACAATAGAATATTTGATGGGATTAAAAAAAAAAGACTGCGAGTGTGAGAATCATTGGGAACGAAAAGAAATAAGAGTTATGGACAAAATATCTGAGGCATGCTCATTTCTCAAGAGTAAGGCAATGGTGTATAGCCATTTAGGCTACATTATCAAATGATGCCCGGTTGGCTTTTAGCTGCTTGTCCTGTAGGACCAAGTGGGAGAAAAAGTCCCAGCTGAATATTTGTTTTAGCTTTTTCTGTGTTGCAAAACCACTTTAGGAGACCTGTGTCTGACCTGGTGCATTTATTACTTTTCTTCTTCATCTACTATGGCAGTTGGATTTGCAGCTATATATTTATCCAATTTTCTATTAAGTGTTGCATTGATTTGGGCTATTCCCAGGACAAATCTAGAATTTTAGTATTGGGTAGTTGACCATGTTTCAAAAAAGACACATTTAAATTACCAACCATTTGCCAGTAGCAGAAAAAACTAAAGTAGGCAACAGCAAACTAGGAGATAGTAACTTAGAAGGGAATGGGTAAAACAGAGCCCATGGACAGACACTGAGCAGAACATATCACTCCCATGCACCAAATTGTTCCCTTTATAGTGCAGAATAGAGGAGAGAACACCTGGTGTCCTACTTTCCATCCCTATTCTGCTGCTGTTATATACATGAAAAGGTTAAAGCTGGAATAACCAAGGGCTATTTTGGTTTTTGAGACTGCCTGTACTAATTAACCACAGTTTTATTTCCAGTGGCTCTAAAAGTTCTGAGAATATTAAACTCGTTGCCCCTTCATCTCTCTCTCTCTCTCTCTCTCTCTCTCTCTGTGTGTGTGTGTGTGTGTGTGTTTGTCTGTTGCCTTCCCTATATCCTGTTTTGCTATTGTTGATGTTTCATCATAGACATCAAGGTATTTTTGCTAACTAAATTGAGTAACAGGTGTCTTTGCTTGGTTCTGGATGCAAGGATTGACTGGGAATGTGCTCGATGCAAAAATAAAATGGGAAATTATCCATATTCTTGTATAAGAATTTTATATGAATTTTATTTGTCCCAAAGAGGCTTCATTTCCAAATTTTAATAGAGATCTTAAAGAAAGAAGGAAGAAGTACGGAACCAATGTCAAAATAGCCCTATCTTTCCAAGGATTAAAAGAGGAGAAGTCAGATGATAGTCCCACAGTTGAAAAGAAGGAAAAGAACAATGCTTTGTAAACAGTTTAAAGGCTTTCCCTTTCCAAACAATAGAGGCAAGGAAAGAAGCAAGACTACAGTGACAGTGACTGCTCTATAAATAGTGATCACTTCCTGGGCAAATCTGTTATGGTCTGGTCAATATGTCTCTCTGTTTTCTGAAGGAGGGACATTCCTTTAGGAGAGGCAAGTGGAAGACCTCACACAGAGCAAGAGAAAACCACACGTATAATTTGTCAAATTATATCTTTGAATATGGCCAACCCAGATACACACACAGATAGTCACACATGCACACAAATCAGTGGATGGGGGCAGGGTTGGGAGATGCATTCCTGTGGTAACAGCCAACTTCAAAGAAAGCAGTGTTGAGTTTGTTGCAATATGTGGACAGGAGAACCAACCAGCCAAATAAATAATAAATGAAGTAACGATCACTCTTGATGGTAGCAAAATAGCTCTGCCCTTTATTACAAGATAAATATATGCTGTTATATGTGTGGGGTTGGGCACAGAATCTGGTTCAAGGATCCTAACAGCTGTAGTTTGCATTGCAAAGAAAGGTCTAGTTGGCTGGTGTGGGTCTTCCGGGCTGGAAGGTCTAGTTGGTTTGAATACTTTAACAACACAAATTACAAGTGGGGTAGCCATGACACCATTTCTAAATCTTGTGTAGATTTGATAGTTGTGACTAGGCAGAGGAATATTAAGTCTTAAGAAAATAAAAAGAATGCAAGAGGACATTAAAATGGTTGCAGAGTGAATCCTCTAGGGAATGACTTGTATAATGAGTCTTCACAGGAGCAGAAATACTTACAGCCAAGATTATTTCCTTTCCATTGATGGGAGAATTTGGTGAAGGGGGTCTGAAAATAGTCATACTACTTGGTAGGCTTGTGTGGAAGCAGTTCTTTCTCCACAACTTAAATCCCAGTTTGTACAGAGTTGAATAGGATTTTTAATTTAGCAGATTATTGTAATGGCAGGGCATAGCTTTCCCAGTCTGATACTAGTTGTATTTAATTACTGTTTCCACTTGGGAATTTTAAGAGTGATTCTCCAACATACAGTATATGAAAGATACCGGGTTGAAAAAGCTGCTGTGCCATTTTGTTGTAGGTTTATTTATTTATTGTAATTATATATAATACAACTGAACATATTAAATGACTGTAACACTCCTCATTAATGCATCTTTAAAAGCAACTCACTTAAAAACAGTCAAACTAAGACTGACTCCTGACTGACTGACTTTTCCAGGCAAGAGTATGAAAGTGGCTTGTCCTGGCCTTCTACTGGGATTTTAATCTGTTGCGTCCAGATTAAGGCCAGCGGGTGTTAAATGCACCCCAACAATGGTGCCCCTCAGTGGAATTGAAACGATCATGCCACGAGACAGAAACAAATACAATATCTGGTGATATCTTCAATCCAAATTTTTAAAGTTTAGTTACCATGCCAAAGAAAAAGTTTTTTGTTTTTTTTAACAGCGCAGATTAAAGTTGAGCACAGCAGATAAGGACAATTACAAAAATAATGACTCAAGTCAAGTGTGGCAGTGAAAGAGTTAAGGGCATGATAGCTTGGGGAAAAAGCTCTGTGGTCCCCCCTTTCCCTTGGTGCTCTAAGCACACGCTTATCTTGCTTAATGGTTAATCCAGGGCAGCATTCAGCATAGCTTAAGTTTAATTGAATTCATGAGGAATGAATGTACCTGGGATTTTAAAATCAAAATCTGGAATTTAGTAGCTTTGTGGTTTTTCTAGTCCAAATGCTAGATGAGATGACCTTTTGGATTAATTTAGAATGGCTTACTTCAGTTCTTACCAACTATGATGCTTGATTTCTTTTTAAATAAAAAGTCATTTTGAAATAACAATGACCTAAAATAAATAGCAGTCCAACGCCTGTTTACAAACTCAGTTGCCATAATTAGCAACTTTTTAGTTTTTGACATAATAGAGGAATAAATGAAGGCTGAAGCTTCTATTCATACAAAGAAAGGGGTGAAGGATTTTTTGAGCATTCACTGGTTTTTCTAATCTTCATTTCCCCTTTACATTGTCAGTTCACTTTAGAATAATGAACAACAAACACTGTGCGTGGGTATATTGTAGAACTGTGTCAAAGGACTTATTCATAAAATCTGGAACAGGGAAGAATGGTAACTATAGTGATAAAATTCTGGGGCACAATGCTTGATTAAATTGAATGGAGATGAGATGATTGGAGTGGTCAGCTCCTAATTAGCACTTCAGTATCCCTATATCATATAAAACATTTCCTTGGATTATGGTCAAAACCAGGCTCTTGTGACATTGAAAAGGATGATAGGCATGGTGTGAACACCACAGCTAGAGAGCTCTTGAGTACCTCCAAATATTAAGCTTTAATTATTTTTTTAATGGCCCAAATCTCACAAAAGTGGGATCTCTGGGTTCTCACATGAGATTTCATGTGGTTTGGGGCTTTTTCTATTTGATTTTTTAAAATAATTTGGGAGATAGTCAGATTTTCCTGTGAAAGTGTATGAAATTGAACAGTGGTTGCTGCTGAAGTCTGCCAAATTTTGGCTTAATTTGGAGTGATTATCTTGTCCACCATGATTGAAGTAGCCAGATCAAAATATGGTG